AAGGAGAGAGAGAGAAACAAAACAAAAAGAAGGAAGGAAGGAAGGAAGGAAGGAAGGAAGGAAGGAAGGAAGGAAGGAAGGAAGGAAGGGAAAGGAAAAAAAGAGAGAGAGAGAAACAAAACAAAAACAAAGAGGAAGGAAGGAAGGAAAGGAAGGAAGGAAGGAAGGAAGGAAGGAAAGGAGGGAAGGAAAGAAGAAAGGAAGGAAGGAAGGAAGGGAGGGAGGGAGGGAGGGAGGGAGGGAGAAACAAAACAAAAAAAGAGGAAGGAAGGAAAGGAAGGAAGGAAGGAAAGGAAAGGAAAGAAAAGGAAAGGAAAGGAAAGGAAGAGAAGGGAAGAGGAAGGGAAAAGAAGGGAAAAATCTGTATATACTTCCTCTAATCTTGGCTAAACTTGGGAAAATGAACAGGATGAGATTAAATTATGAACAGGATGAGATTAAATTTCATTGCTTGGATGGGAACCCTGGAGAAACCCAGAACTGTAGGCTAGATTGGAAAAAGCAACGGTTAGAAGGTTCTAGAATATTTCACAGCCCTGAATTCAGCAGGAATCAAGCTTGACTCAAAGGTGACTTGACTTACGGAGAAATCAAATTAAGTCTTCGAGGTGACTGCTGATTACATCTAATCTTCAACTTACAACCACTCGTTTAGTGGCCATTTGAAGTTGCAACGGCACTGGAAAAAAAATGTTCTATGGTCAGTTTTCACCTTTAGGAGCATTGCATGCTTCCGCGTGGTCAAAAGTCAGACGCTTGGCAACTGGCATGTACTTATGACAGTTGCAGCATCCCAGGGTCACATGATCCCCATTGTGCGACCTTCCCAGGAGGCTTCTGGTGAGCAAAATCAATAGGGGAAGCCAGATTCACTTAACGACCAAAGGATTCACTTCACGACTGCGGCGATGGGGCTTAACGATTGTGTCACGGAAGATCATCAAACGGGGCAAAGTTCATTTTTAACGACTGTCTCGCCCAGGGAAACTTTGGGCTCAATTGTGGTCGTAACTCGAGGACTCTCTGGGTGCAGGTCATTATTTTCCCCCTTTTCAAGAAAGGGGGTTGTCGCCAGAAGGGCTGCTTGGCAACTCACAAAGCAGAATACACAATAATAGAACTGGAATGGGACCTCGGAGATCTTCTAGCTCACCCCCTGCTCAGACTGGAGACCCTATACCCGTGATAGTGAACTTATGGCATGCATGCTACAGGTGGCACGCAGAGCCATTTGTGCGGGCACGCAAGCCCCAGGCAAACTTACCTGCACTGCGCATACACACGCCTCCCAGCTGGTTTTTGGCCCATTTGAGGCCTTTTTTGCCCTCCTGGGGGCTTGAGGGAAGCCTCTGCAACCTTGGGAGGCCGAAAAATGGGCCTGTTTTGGCACTTCCGGTATTTCCCTGAAGGCCTGTTTTTCGGCCTCCCAAGGCTGCAGAGGCTTCCCTCAAACCTCCAGGAGGGTGAAAACAGCCTCAGACAGGCCCAAAATCATCTGTGAGGCGCATGCACGCGCAGTGGTGGGGCACATTGAATTATGAGTGCCAGCACACGCGTTTTCGGCACACCACAACAAAAAAGTTCACCGTCACTGTCCTATACCGTTTCAGATAAATGGCTGTCCAGTCTCTTCTTCAAAGCCTCCAGTGATGGAGCACCCACAACTTACAGATTAACGGTGTTGGAAGGGACCTTGTAGGTCATCTAGTCCAACCCAAGTGGGAGACCCTACACCATTTCTGACAAATGGTAGTCTAGTCTCTTCTGGAGGCAAGTTGTTCCACTAGCTAATTGTTCTCACTGTCTGTAGATTTTCTTAGAAGACATTTCACTTCTCCTCCAAGAAGCTTCTTCAGCTCTGACAGGATAGTGGGGAACGGAAGGATTGATACTCCTTGCAGACAGCTGGTCATTTGCATCCTTTTAGAGGGTCATTGAGGCCACTTGGAGGTTTATCTGTGTCCTCAGGGTCACCTGAGTGGTGTGAATGGTTCCTGTAGTCTGCAATTTTTTCCAGGAGCGCCTGAGGATGAGGATACAGTCAAACCTCCAAATGGCCTCAACAAACCTCTCAAAGGATGCAAATGACCAGCTGTCTGCAAGGAGTATCAATCCTTCCTCCTCCACCATCCAGTCAGAGCTGAAGAAGCTTCTTGGATGAGAAGAGAAACATCTTCAAAAGAAAAAAAACAGAAAATCCAGTTGCCTCTTGAAAAAGCACCTTTGTTCTCACGGTTAAGAACGTTCTCCTTAATTCCAGGTTGCTTCTCTCCTTGATCTGTTTCCATCCGTTGCTTCTTGTCCTGCCTTCAGGTGCTTTGAACCCCTCTTAGCTTGACCCCCCTCTTCTTTGGGGGGGGGCAGCCCCTCCCTGCTGCCACAAAGACTCACTGGCTGCAGAGATGGTATTCAACAGGTTCTGACCAGTTCTGGAGAACCGGTAGCGGAAACTATGAGTAGCTCGGAGAACCGGCAAATACCACCCACTGACTGGCCCCACCCCCATCTATTCTCTGCCTCCCATAGAGTCCCAGCTGATTGGCTGGGTCTTCTTTGGATGCCCTGCACAGGAGAACGGAGCTGGAAAGCAGGTTAGTTGTTGTGGTTAGCCGGCAGCAGGTGCGGACGGCTAAGGAGAGCGAGGACTCAGATGAGGGGCCAGGACCATTAGGGAGTAGACCGCTGCCTTCAGAGATTGTGGGGGCCAGCAGCAGCGATGAGGAGGTTCCCGAGGAGCCAAGTGTGCGTGCACGCAGGATTGCTCAGAGGAAAGAGCAGTTGCAACAGCACGGGCGACTCAGGAGTAAGGCTGCAAGGTAATGGCCCCTCCTTCAAGAAGATAAAAGCCAGCTGTGAAGCAAACCTTCTTTGCAGGAAGCAAAGATGTTTTGAAACGCCAGCCTCGTGGACATTCTAGTATCCTGAGTTCATATTTGAATATTTTTCTATTGCAAATTATTTCTTGTCTGTTATCTTTTGGCAAGGCTTGTGCTTATCACAGTGAATTATTTTGTAAAAGGGTTTTGTTCCTTTTGGATTGTGTTTGATTGGTCGGAAAAAGGCGTGGGTCAGGACATTAGTGGGGTGGGGAGGGAAGGGGGATTTGGCAGTATATCCTTCCCCTGCCATGCCCACCAAGCCACGCCCACCAAGCCATGCCACGCCCACAGAACCGCAAGTAAAAAAACAAAACAATTTTGAATCCCACCGCTGACCGGCTGTCCTTTCTTCTTTTTTTTTCCAGGCAGTGTAACAAAACATCCAACGGCAGCGACAGCTGCGACCTGATGTGCTGCGGCCGTGGCTACAATCCCTACATGGACCAGGTGGTGGAGCGATGCCACTGCAAGTATCACTGGTGTTGCTACGTTACCTGCAAGAAGTGCCAGCGGACTGTCGAGAGGTACGTGTGCAAATGAAGCCGCGTTCCAGGCCTCTCCGCTGCTTCCCGGTGTGACAAAGGGAGACACCGGTGCCACCTTTTCCCCCTCCCCCCACCGCCTACGGGACCCTCACAAGAAGGATGAAACAAACAATCTTCCTTGCAAGGAAATCTGGGTTGAATTCAGACAAGCCGGTCCTCAATCTTTGGCCAACAGAGAGATTGTATCCCTTCAGTGATCTTTTCGAACGATTGCTCGCCGACGACCACAAAGCCGGCTCGTGTGAAAGTCTTTGAAAGCCAGGACTTAGTCAAGAAGGCACCGTCGTCGTCAGAAATCTCCTTCACGGAGATGAAGAATCTTGGGTTTCATCGTGGCCACCCAGCTTCGCCATTTGGGATCTCAGACTGCCTGTGGCCACCAAGCCACACCCACCAAGCCATGCCACGCCCACCAAGCCACACCCACAGAACATGTTGGCGGGAAATAGAGAACACCTTTTCCAAAATAAAAAAATAAAAAAATTCACGGACCTGCTGCAGGAAAATATTTGCTTTTCTGCGCTAATGCAGTGGACACCCCTGATGTTCAGTTCCCACCCTCAAAAAAGTGGATTTTGTCGGACTTCTTCCATCCCAGAATAGTTTCTCTTCTAAATTTGTTTCTCTTTGTCCCCATTTGGCTCTTTTTATTTTTGTTTTTTTCTTAAACTGGCAGCATGGCTTGGAAAGACCAAATGGAAAGGACCAATCCTTAAAATGTTCTGTTTGCTTCTTTTTTAATTCTTGCCCACATCTGATTTTTGGCTGGAAAATTCTTCCCCTCCTTTTGTCTCTTTATATCTGGTGATTTTTTTTTTCTCCCATGAAAGAGGCAGATGGTATCGCTACTTTTGGGAAATCTCTGGGCTTTGGAGACCATCCGGTGGGCCCACTCGCAATATGGTTGATATTACGGACCGAGTTCTGGTTTGCGGTCTGATCAAGGACATTCTCTTCTCTTTGGGCGAAATCTTTTGTGCGGCTTCAACGCTTTATAGCCAATAAATATGATGCTAATAGCTGCTGATTTGCTGGGCAGCTGACCAGCTATTGGGCTCCTTTCATTTATTAAAAATAATCCTTTTAAAAAAAAAAGTTGGACAGAGCAAAGATTCCATGGATAATCTCACTGGTAATGCTTCCTTTGTGTCTTGTCAGAATGAGGGCTCACTGAGCTGGGTGGTTTTCTTGCAGACGTTTCATGACTCAACTAAGTAACACCATCAGTGCTGGAAGAGACTGGGGTTGTGGAGAGGAAGAGGAGGAGGAGAAGGTGGCTCCTTCCTTCCTCTCCTGTCTATATCTCTCTCTGTCCTTTTCCTTTCTTCCTTCCATCCTTCCTCCCCTTCTTATATATCCCTCCATTATTTTCCTTTCTGACCATATATCCTTTTTTGTTTCCTTCCTTCCTTCCTCTCCTTCTGTCCATATATATCTGTCCATTATTTTCCTTCCTTCCTTTGTGGCCATATATCCCTTTGTTCTTTAACTGCCTGCCTGCCTGCCTTTTATCCATCCTTCCTTTCTGCCCATATATCCCTCCATTATTTTCCTACCTTCCTTTCTTTCTATCCATATATTCCTTTGTTCTTTT